GCCCCCTCTGCCTGCAGGACTGGTTCCTGTTACAGCAGCATTGCTATTGCTGGACTCTTACTAATGAGGACAAGCCCCCACAGGCTCTTAAGTCACCTTCTCCCAGCAGCCTTGGGCTTGGCGGTGCAGCCCCACTTGGCAGAAGGGAAATTATTTGTCTGAGGTCAAGTTGCATGCAAATCACTGGGATTTAGTGCTAACCCCACCTCCTGAGTGTTAGTTGTGTGTATTGGCCCGAAGCTGTCAGCCTGGTTGTCATCTCTGTCACTGTCCTCTTTTCCAGACCCCTGATGAGTTTAGTTGCATTTATTGCCCTTTAGTTGGACCAACCAAGGACATTAATTGCAAATATCTGAAAGCTATTCATTTGTCAAAAGATACTTGCATTCCCACAATCCACTATGATGGCATTTCGGCCCTGAGCTGACTGATGAGGTTGTTTACTCTTTGGACATTTAAATGCTGTGGGTCAAGGACAATGTAATTCATGACTTTAGAATACTTTTCTCCCAAAGATGAAATAGTAGCTGCTTCACACACACACACACACACACACACACACGCACGCACGCACACCCACACCTGTCTTTTGAGTGTAAACTAATAAACACTACATTGTGCTGCCCAGTTTACTACACGTTTTCACATGTGGGCTCTCACTTGATCCTCCCAATTACATCCTGAAATTCATGCTTTTACATCTTTATAGAGGAGGATAATAGGGGTTAGCTGATATACCCATGTCGTCGTTTATTCGTGTTCCTTTTACTAACTTCATTTGTAACATGTTTTAGATTAAAATCACAAACATGTACCCAATTTTTTTACATTAAGGTTGCAGAATAAAACCCGAGGCAGCAAGCTGAGTGGGGTAGACAGCGCAGACTGGGGCCCACGTTGGGACGGCAGCCGTGCCGGCTGACAGGCCTCCCAGTCCCCAGCATTAAGTCACACACTAGACCTGAGTCTCTTGGAAACCCAAGTAAAAATGAAAAGCCATTTACAGGATTCCCACCATTCCATGAGGAAAACTCACCAGTTTTTCTGAGTGTGGTGCTTTTCAACTGGGAACCTTTAAAATGCCCAGGCTTGGGCCCCACCCAGACCAGTGAAAACAGTCTCTCTGGGGGGGTAGGCCTGGGTCTCAGCATATTTTCTTCACAACTCCCCAGAAGCTCCCGCTGTGTGGCCAGGGTTGGAAAGCCCCGACAGTGAATTCTGGAGTCACTCAGGGAGCGAGATGTGCACTAAATCCCGGGGCCACCTCTGCGTGTCCCAAGGCCAGTGCCGGCTTGGAGTAGCAGAGCAGGCGGAAGCCGGTCGGGATGTGCATCCTCCAGCTCCGATGCTGGTGTTTTCCCAGGGAGTGGAGCCAGGAGGGGGCAAGGGTTTTAGAAGCTGCAACAGAGCGGAGTGTGATCCCCACACGTGGAACTTTGAGTGACAGGGGAGTAGTTCGGTGGCTGCGGAGTGGAAAATGATTTCAGGAGCACAACCTCCATTACCGGGGAGCCTGGAGGTCTGCAGAAATTGCACACGGGTGTATTGTGCGCTTCTCCGCCTGCTACCTGCTCATGACTCACCATCAGGAGAGGTGCTGATGGGTTCTCCCCTCTGCTGATGCAGTGGGCATGTTGTCAAGCGTGCAGTGAAGATAACAGCATTTCCAGAGAGCCCGCAGGTCTGCGTTTCCACAGACTCCACGCCCTCAGAGTTTCCTATCTCACTCAGTGTCTGCAAAGAAAGTACCAAGGGGACAAAAAGCTATCCCATTGGAAAGCCACCGAGCTGAAGACTTTTGGAAGATTATAGTGGGTGATATTTTTTTAAATGTGCCAAGAATTCCTATCAAATAACCTTGCAATAGTGGATGTTCCTGCAGGTGGCAACCCCGAAAGCTTGTCATTCAGTGCTTTGCGGGTCTCCAAGTGCTTACGTAGGCAACACTGCATCTGATCACAACTTCACGAGAGTTCCAGTGGGAAGCAGGCGGCCATATCTCCCAACAGTTAGACAAGAAGGAAATGTCGACCCCACAAGGTCTTCCAAATCTGCCTGAAGGTCAGGATCCCCCAGGACACCTGGGGCACACCTGCACCCCCATCCCCCAGAATCGCTGGCTCCCCAGCACTTAGTCAGCTCAGGGATCTGGCTGCAGTTTTTCTTCTTGTTAAAATAGTTGTTCCACGTTCTTCTTAGCCATGTACAAATTTGGGATGACAGCACTTGATGAAAATCTGAGTCATGGGTTGATCAAGAATCGGGGAGAGCCATTAGGAAAGTGTCTGTGTTTGAGCACTCAGGGATCATGGCTTAAATTTTGCCCCAGCATTCAGTAACTTTGTGCAAATGACATAAACTGCCTTCGTCTCCAAATTCCATAACACGGGAGTCACTTTATCATCAGCACGTTAGGTAACAAGGGGCTTGTCATCATCCACGGCGCCCGCGGGTCCTGGAACGCAGTGACTGCTGGGTGCGTGGCAGAGACTGAGTGCTTGAATTGTGAACCACCACTCGGAATCAAAACGCTAAGCCCTGCCTTCAGGCCGAAGCAAGGCTTCTCAACCGAGGGCAGTTTTGTTCCCGGAGACATTTGCTACTCATTGTCTGGGGGACGTTTTTTTTATGACGACCGGGGGGCTGCTACTGACACCTAGTAGGTAGAGTTAGGGACGCTGCTCAAACTCCTGTGATGCCCAGCATGGCCTTTACCGTGAAGAGTTGTGTGGCCCAAATATCACTGCACCACTGAGGGAACCCTCCCCCAAAGGGACAGTGGGACAGGTGAAATGTCTTGTGACTGGAGGGATAACAATCTTGAGTCGTTGGTGTCCCCACTGTGGAGGTGGGTCCAGTGGGACACAGAGGCACTTCTGGCTCTAGACAAGGTCAGAGCCGACTTGTCACCTACTCAGGTCCACTGCCCTTCATGGAGTTGTGCAACGAAGCCCTGACCCAAAGTATCACTTCAGTGAATCTTTTACCTCAGGGTGTCTGGGACACCTCCCTTGACTGGTGACCATCAGACTCGCCTGGAGAACTCGTTGACATGTAAACTTCTGGCTCCCTCCCTCTGAGATTCCGAGTCAGGCACCAGCAGTGGAAGCCGTATTCGCAGAATCACCCCGGGGATTCTGACTCAGCTGCAGCCAGTGGGGACCCTCTGAGCTCCCCGCCAACTCTGACACCTGCAACAACTCTGAGACCTGGAAGAAGGCCACGTCAAGTCCCGCCCAGCTTCTCCCACCTCAGGCAAATTAGCTGTCTTTGTAGGTGTGAGGTATCTGGATTAATTTTATTTGAATTTTTGCTATTACTACTACTACTACTACTAATACTATGAACAGTACTACTACTGCTGCTAATAATAATAATAACTAAGTGATGTCAGAGGTGGTACCCTGTTCTTTATGTCTACAATGAACCAGGCTCAAACAGCGTCCCCAGTGTGTTTCTCTGCATCTCACAGGGGTTCTGGGGGAGGGAGGGCTTACCCACTCACCTCCAATTCCACGTTCCGCTTCCTGCGATGAATCATCTAGTGACCCCCGCCCCCCACCGTGTGGTCTCAGGCAGGGTTTTCCCCACGGACACAACCTCCCTTCACTCGGGACGTAAAGCAGACTTTACGAAAAGTTTGGCTAAGTTCTGGGGACTTGTACCAGAAATCGCTTCCTACGGAATCTTGTAACTCCTCTGCCCAAGAGTGGTCTCTGCAATCCTGACCGGTGTGGCTCAGTTGGTTGGGCATCATCTTGCAGAGCAGAAGGTCACCATTCGATTCCCAGTCGGGGCACAGGCCTCGGTTGTGGGTTCAGTCCCTGGTCAGGGCGTGTGTGAGAGGCAACCGATCAATGTTTCTCTCTCTTTCTCCTCTCTCTAAAAATAAATAAATAAAAATAAAAAAATTATCTCTGCAAAATTAAATTAAAATGAAGAAAAAAACACACTAAGAAAAAAAGCTGCAAAGAAAAGGGATTGTCTCTGCATTTCCACCAGCACAGACTCTAGGCATTGGCCACGCTGCTGCATCCGGGTCTCTGGGCCTCTTTTGTACGGCCTAGTAGGGAAATGGATGAACAAATAAGTAATATTTGTAATTAGATATAGAATATATGTATAACATACACGTGTCTATATATATCTGTGTGTGTATATTTACATGTAAATAGAATATAGATGTATATATATATATGTCTCACACACACACACACACACACACACACACACTATTCTTTTACAGAACAGACCCACACACTGGGGGCTGCCTTTTCAGTCCTGCCTCGTGGGGCCCATCAACCGCTCATACAAACCCAGGTGTTCCTTTCCTGGTAGGAATTCCTTCGTGGGCGGGGCAGCCCCAGGACCCTGCATCTCACACACCTTGGCCACTTCAGTCCTCCCCAGAACACTTTGATGTAATTGTTACTCCCCTCATGATGCAGATGAAGACCTGAGCTTCAAAGACATCAAGTTCATGTATGGGAAGTCCAATAGTGAGTGGAGGGACAAAGCAGGGACAACCCCCTGATTCCTCAGTCCTGAATCCAGAACTTTCCCCTCCACAGCAGGACTCTTTCCCCAGGATACACATTGGCAGCCCAGGCAGGGGGCCGGGGGAGGGTGGGCTTTAACAGGACTGCTCTACCCTAGTCCAAGGAAATCAGAATTTCTGGGGGAGGCCCTCGAGCTCCTGCAGGTTTAGAAAGTTTCCCTGGGGATTGCAAAGTGCAACCAGCCCAGGGCGTGTGGTAGTCCCGACATTCCAACCTGCCAACCAGGACCCCGAGAACGACCTCCCACACGGGTCTCAAGGCTGCACCCCCGGCTTTCCTGGACCGTGGAGTAAGCGCCATGTTACCACTGCACCCAGCCTTCTTCCGGATGTTTCCAGACCCAAACTTTTGCATCATTTGATAATATTTTAGATGAGCATTTACCTGCCTGAGCAGTCTGTCCACCATCCTTTTCCTTACCCTGTTTTTCCCCTTTTACAGGCACGAAGAAGCGTTCTCACGGCTCCCCCGCCCCGAGCACCAGCCGCCTCACCTTGCCAGGTGGGTACCAGCGCTGCGCAGTGAAGTCAGTGATCATAGACAGCAGAGGGAACCGCTCTCGCAGGGAGCTGAGTTTCACGGTTGATAAACCGAGGCTCTGGGCCCTTGTTCATCCAGGCTGCCCCACGTTATTAGAGGGCCTCTGTCACCCACGGGTGAAGTTCCTTCAGGAACGGCCCTGACAGAGCCAATTTGGTTCGTGGTCTGTCCTGCTCGCTGACGGGAAGAGTAGAACCTTGTTCTTCCCAATGTTCATCTGGACATGTTTTGGACGTATTTCTCTGAGAGACAGATGGTGCAGGGGAATGAGTATGAGCCTTTGGCAAAAGAGACTTGGGTTCAGACCCCAGCTCTGCCATGTTCAAGTTGTGCGAGCTCACTAGATGGACGCAGCTTCTTGCTAATCAGTGTCGCATAGTTCTGACTCACAGCGGGCGCCCACAGCGAGTCTCTACCATTGGGAAATGGATGTCTGCACGGTCTGGGCTGGTCCCGTCTGACACTGAGCTGGAAGGTCTAGGTGTTCGTGATGATTCCATAGAATCACCGTTTATTGTGAGAGGCTCCTTCCTGTTGGTCATGCTGTCTCCCTGCCTAGGTTTACAATCTCTACCACGATTTGATTTTTATAGGTAGAACTTGCAAAAACCCATTCGTTTGGGCAGGGGGTGGAGAGAGAGGATCTAAGAGGCAAACAAACAAGGTAGAAAAATTAAAAAGTAATAAAGATTATAGGAAGGAAAAATGGTGCCCATGCTACCACTCAGAGGTAACCAAGGTTACCATCCCATCCGGTCTTTCTTAGATACATTTTGTTCCTAGAGTAAAATTATACTCTGTCTGAAATTTGTTTCATCCCTTTTAAAGTTTACCATTGCACTATGAGATTTACCCGGTGTTACTATTTTTAAAAATATATTAGTGCTTCACTAACATTTTGTTTGATTAATTTGTACTATAGTCATGTGTGAATTTTTGACTATTAGGTTGGTGTCCCTGACCCTGGTGTGTTCGAGGGTCAGCAGTACATTCACTGACAACTGGCCATTAAGCTTGAATAACCTCACATTCTTGTACACAAATATTTCAATGGATTGAGGACAGGTTCCTAAATAGGATTATTAACTCAAGGGATATGTATATATCTAGGTTCTTAACACATTAGAGTCATAGCAATTTCCAGGAAGGTAGTGTGTTATTTGGACTTCCAGTGATGAGTTTGCCACTTGAGCCTGCTCTTGCTAACACTGACACTAATACCTTACCAATTTGATGAGAAAAAATATTGTATCATTATTTGGCTTGCATTGATTTGATGGTTTTTTAAAAATTTATTTTCTGATGTTAATTTATCTTTTAAATTTCTTTTTTGGGGAAGTACCATATTTGGTTCATTCTGAGAGGGACAGTGCCTTGCATTGTGGCTTCTGGAGTGAGGGCTCTTTTGCAACCAGTGGTGTGTTATAATTTAATTAGCATTTTTTCTTGGTTGGACATGAAATAATAGTTGACTTCATAATCAGTGGCCTCTTAGCTTAGACAAAACAGAATCTATGTCTATCTGCTTTTCCACCCTCCACTCCAGTGGCTTCCTCACCCTCGTTCCACAGCTGGACTCAGTGTCCACCGGGGAGGCCTGGAGCTCTCTGGCCGCGGCCACTCTGTCTGTAACACTGCTTGCCCTTTTCTTCCCTCTGGCTAATTTCTTTTTGCAACCCCTCCAAATCATCTAGGCAGAATTAATATTTACTTATAACAATTTGCTTATGAGTCTTTTTACCCCGTGAGAGGTGGCTTTTTCGAGGGTGGGGACTGTCTTGTTCTATTTTTGCCCCGATGCCTGCGTGGTGACCAGCACACGCCGGGTGCTCACAGGTGGTGCTGAGGCCGGGCGCGAGGGTGTGGGAGCGGGCACTGTCTACTTCCGGATAGAAAGCAGTCGTCCTCAGAAAAAGGCTCCTTTTGAAGTTCGGGTTTGCATCAACTGTACTAACTTGCTTTTAGTACCGAGTCACCTGCTCCGTAGTCTCCAGAGGCTCCTTTCATCTTGTCCCTGCTTGCGGATCGTGTGCCCTTGCAATGACAGACACTAGGAGGAAAACACCTCTAAAGCAAGCAGCTCCTGTGTGCAGCGATGGAGTCTGCTCTGCTGTGGAAGGTCATAGCCTTCCAGGGAGGGTCAGGCGGGGTCTCTGACGTCATCCTGGACATCCGTAAGAATATGCAGAGCTGACCTGCTTCCCGTCTGCTGTGCTGGAGGCCTGTTGTTGGCCTGCTGGGTTTCCAAGGCCTCTGAGTCAGAGTCTCAGCCACCTTGGCCTTGGCCTTAGGTGGGCAGGGGTCTAACCTGGCCCCGGATTGGGTGTCTCACGTTCTGAGTCCTGACCACTCCAAAGCCTGCAGAGGTGGAGTGGGTAGTGCCCATGCTTTGTCTAGCAGACCCCCTCCACCTCATGTGTGACAATGGCCAGCTCACTCCTTCATCCCCTACCCCGGGACCACAACGCGTTGCCTCCCTCTGACTCAGGTGCCTCCGCCTGATGCCCTTTGTGCCGGCTGCCCAACAATTAAAAATGTCTGGTTTCAGGGTGCTCAAATAGGAGGAGTGATAATCCTTGAAAACAACACAGTAAAATTGTGCAGAAAGAAAACAATAGAGACAGGCCGAACAAGCAGTTGAAACATCTCACATTAAGCAACAAACGTATAACCGCTGGAATTTCAAAAGAGAAAAACTCGAGGTTGAAAAGAGAAAATCTTGCATGCTCTGCGCAGTGGGTTACGTGCAGGGGAGCGGCAGGCTGGCAGCAATCCTGGCTTTGGTCACAGTAAATGTGAGGGGCATGAGGGTGAGTCTTGCATGTGCTCAGGGACGCACTTCCACAAGGAGAAAAGTGAACTTCAAAGCAAGGTGTAAGTTCTAAGTGTTAATGGTGCACACGCAAGTAAATCAAACATGTTGGTAAATTTGAGTAACTGGTCACCATAAAAATAATGTGCAGTTTTTGTGTTAAAGCAGGAAACAGAAGCTGCTGATGGAAGGAGAGTTGTTGTAGGGGTTGAAGAATGAGAACATCTATTTTGTCTTTGGACAGACCTTGTAATTTTGTAACTTTTTTACACAAAGGATCATCAATAAAATCATTTAAATATAGCCTGGAGCATCTAAATCAGCAAGTGAACAGAGAAATGCATTAACACAGGCAGAAAGGAAGAAAAAGAAGCCAGGAATAAAGAATGATTACAAATTTAGATAGTAGAATCAAGTCTAAAACAAAAACGAAATTAGATTATAGAATCAATTCCAAAATGTCAGTGATAACAATAATTGCAAAGGGCTTAAACTCCAGTATTAAAGAACAGATATGATGTGATTAGATTAAAAAACCCCAAATCCAGCCCTATCCTGCATTTCAGAGACACACTTTAAAACACACACACACATACACACACACACAGAGAAAGTTTGCTGACATATGGCAAAAGAAATTCTACACAAAATATAAAGCTAGTTCTTAGGAAAACATTGTCTATTTTAACATCTGTGTAGCAGCGTATTGTACAGATGAGTCATAGGATAGGATATTTAATCATTGATGGTTGTTTTCTATTTTTGGCTGTTACAGACAAAGCTTAACATAATGTTGAAGAAGAAAAGTGAGTTGCCACTACACACACACACACACACACACACACAGCATTTAACACTATATTATCTTTTAAAACAAGCAAAAAATTACATATTTTATGGATGCACACAAATGCAATAATTGAATGAATATATGCATAAGAATAATAAATACCAAATTGTGGTTGATGTTTTGAGGATAGGTAGACAGAAGTATCATGGAAGGGTATATAGTAGGTACTTCAACTACATTTGTGATATTTAATTTCTTTGAATAAAATTTTGAATATGAAAAATGTTAAGATTTGATTAAACTGTATTGAGAATACATGGGTATTTGTTATGTTATTATTTATACTTTTCTGCATGCTCAAAATATTAGTTATTGAATTTTTTAAGTGAAAAATCTATGTCTGCATTCCAAGCCAAGCTCTGTTTGGTGTTATGGCTCCGCAGACATGATTTCACATGTATGTCAGAGTAATTTAATGTTTCCCCTTGTGCACCTCTGGAGAGGTACGGGGGCTGAGAATTCAGATATAAAGGACATTCTGCAGATAACCTGGCCCATCCAGAGAGCCCTTCACTAAAGAACAGCCAGTGTGGTTTCTGACATGATGGAAGGGGTCCTCCTGAAGCTCCAGCACCAGAAAACTATTCTGGGGACACCCCCTCAAGCCCTTGCACAGCTTTAAAAGCAAAGTGACTCTGATGTGGGAAAGTCATGGCACCGGCAGCTGGTTTTTTTCTAGAGCCAGCTTCACCTATGACCTGTGAGGTCTGTGAACCTGATCAAGCTCCGGGGGCGGGCCTTAAATGATGGAGAACGTATCACTGGCTCTCGATGGAGCAGCGGCCCATTGACGGACACTAGTCAGTGGCTTACTTCTGAGCCGATTCCCCAGGGTGCCGGGGTCACGCCACTCTCCTACAGTGAAGCTTAGATGGAAAGGTACAGTACCCCAGTCACCCGCGGGTGCAGATAGCTCGCCCCTTGCCCTGCTGTGCGCGCGGCGGCTGGCATGCACCGTAGTGTTGGCAGTAGATGCGCAGTGCTTCCAGTCACCCTGCCTGATGTAGAAGCGTGTGTGCGAGTGATGCCGGCTGGCTGGCAATGACATTGTCCTGTGTCTTGTTCCAGGGGACTACGGATAAGACGTCCATCCAGAGGAGTCGTCCAAAGACAAGGGACCAGCTTTGAGGTCTGAAGATGTTCTAGAAAACTTATGTTTCTTTGACCAAAACAAAATATTATGTGCATTGTAAGTTATTGAGTAATTATTGTCAAAAATGATAAGTCCTTATCTCCCTAATACAGGTGTTTTTTATAATAAATACTTTGATATGTTTTCGACATCTATCAGCTCTCAGG